CCTGGCCTGGCGGGCCTCTCGAACAAGCTCAAGCTTCATCCAGCCTGCCAGACCTCGCGGTCGGGGTCTGTTTTGGCCGCAAGAGACGACGAGGTGTCGGGTCTGGCTGAGAGTCCACACTGGCCTGATGTGTGCGTGCGTGCGTGCGTGTGCGTGCGTGCGTGCGTGCGTGCGTGCGTGCGTGCGTGCGTGCGTGCGTGCGTGCGTGCGTGCGTGCGTGCGTGCGTGCGTGCTGTGGTGCGTGTGTGGTGTGTGGTGTGTGTGTGTGTGTGTGTGTGTGTTGTGTGTGTGTTGTGTGTGTGTGTGTGGTGTGTGTGGTGTGTGGGTGTGTGTGTGTGTGGGTGTGTGTGTGTGTGTGTGTGTGGTGTGTGTGTGTGTGTGTGTGTGTGGTGTGTGTGTTGTGTGTGTGTGTGTGTGTGGGTGTGTGTGTGTGTGGTGTGTGTGTGTGTGTGTGTGTGTGTTGTGTGGTTGTGTGTGGTGTGTGGTGTGGTGTGTGTGTGTGTGTGTGTGTGTGTGTGTGTGGTGTGTGTGTGTGTGTGTGTGTGTGTGGGTGTGTGGTGTGTGTGTGTGTGTGGGTGTGTGTGTGAGAGAGGTCACACTGCCAGGAGTCAGACTGAACGGCTACCGTTGGAGGGTGCTGCCCGCACGAAGGTGATGAGGCTCCAAGATGACCTCCGGTCCCTTCCCATTCCCCTCCATTTTGTAGAGAGTGCAGCCCTTCAACAAAACTGTGCAACCTCGCCTGATGCTTTTTGAACGAGTCAATCAATGTTGTGGAACATTTTGCCTTTTACAGTAATATTACAACCTATTTTGCTGAGAGTCAAGCGTCCCCTGGTGTCACAAAATTAGATGTAGACCTAATTTAACCGACCGACGCCGGCACCCTTGCAACAATGCCGACATGGATCGCCGTTCAGGTGTTACATCCTGCTGTCAATCTGCTCCCTTGTTACTCAACATGAAGTAACAGTCTTTTCCATCCGCATTGATCTGAGCCGAAGTCTGCACCAAGGAGCACGACGGGGCGTCTCCACGCCCCTACACGTGCTCGGGCCTATCCCGATGCCCCTCCCCACCAGACTCGTCGTGGAATGCCTCCTGGACCTGCCCCGGTACCCGACCTCTGCGCTAGTACCCGTCTGGGAGTCCGTTCCCAATACCAGAACCCGTCCCTGAGTCACGCCTCGCTTTCAGTTCCCGTCCGTGAATCACGCCTTTCTACCAGGACCCGTCCCGAAATGCCTCCTCAGTAGCGGGACCGGTCGCGGTGTCCCTGCTCCGTACCAGGACCCGTTCCGGAGCGCCTCCTCTGCAGCAGGAGCCCTCACCTCACCCAGTGGTCGGTGGGTTGCCCGGAGCCCGCCGCCGGCCGGCGCGGCGACGGCGCGCGCCGGCCGCGCTATTTCGGTCCGCGGCAGCCGCCGCCGGCCCCACCCGACCCCGACTCGACGGCCGCCGACACCGGAAGACGGCCGCCGCGCCACAACCGCCGCGATTGTCGTCGCGCCGCGCCTATTTACCGGCGGGCGGCGTGAGTAACAGCGCCGGAATGGAGTCGGTTTACCGGCGGCCGGGCCGGCCGGCGCGGGTTGGTCGAGACACCCCGGAGGGCCAGCCAGGCGGGAGGGAGACGGTGCGCTCTGCAGCTAACGGCTGGCGGCGTTCGCCGGCACTGTGCGCCAGTGAGAGGGACAATGTCGACAGCGTCGTGGTGTGCGCTGTGTCAGGTTGTGGCCTCTGCTCCGGCCTTCTCTTCCCGTGTGCCAAATGCTGCGCTCGCGGCGCGGCGGAGAACACCCGTCGACCGGCACGCCTCGGTCAGGGAGACGGGCCAGCGGAAGACGAATGGACGGGGGCGCGCGCCGCGAGTTACCTGGCTGGTGGAAATCGGGAGCGAACTGTTTGGCGTGTATGCGGGCGATGTCGGAGTCTTCCCGGGAGTGCAGGGCCGCGATGTCCGCCTGCTCCGCCTTGCCTCGCGCCGTCGCTGTCCTGGGAACACCGGCCGCATGTCACTGGTCACCTCCGCTGGGCCCATGGGACACGGCTACACGGTCCGGGTGACATGGGTGTGGGCAACAGGTGGTTTTTTTTTAGAAGGTCAAAAAAGATTGGGGGAATATTTTGGGTCCAAGTTTCATAGCGGGCTTGGATGGCGCTGCGTGACCATTTTAGTCGACGCCCCTTAAAACTCCGAATCATCATCATCACTATCATCATGATCATCTACATTATCACTATCACCCTCGTGGGCATGCTCACCGTCATCATCACCATCACCCAGTCGGCATAGGAAGCACTTGTCGTAAATCAGTCACATGCGGCAAGTAATCGGTCCGGTAAAGTTTCCCCAAACGGCCACTTGGGGACATGCTGGGAAATCCCGACCGGGCCTGGACGCTCCTGCGTACACTCGCCACAGGCGGCTCGGACACCGCTCGAGATACCCCGACCTCTTGGAGAAATATTAGGATATGGTCCAGAACAGATTGAGAATCCCAGCCAAAGCATTACCCGGCCGGCTGAACTGGGAGGCCGTCATTACCCGACCCAATCATTACCCGGCCAGCTGAACTGGGGGGGGGGGGCGGTCATTACCCGGCCCAATCATTACCCGGCCAGCTGAACTGGGGGGGGGGGCGGTCATTACCCGGCCCAATCATTACCCGGCCGGCTGAACTGGGGGGCGGTCATTACCCGGCCCAATCATTACCCGGCCGCTGAATAGGGGGGCGGCCAGGACGTCGACCGGGGTCAAACCGGCAGTGCCGGCTGGATGGCCACCAATGGGGACATCGCAGCCCGGATCCAGTGCATTCTGGCGAGGCTATGCCATTTCTGTGACATGACATGATAAACCGTACAAGAATGACGCTAGACGTTACCAATGGCCAATGTGTGTCTGCCCCTGTGATTCACGGGCCGTCATCAAACCGCAGGCGCTAGGATCAACCGGCACTGGATCACTTCCCCGCGGCGGGGCGCCATCGCGCTGCGACATCGGCGCAGCCACTGGTCGACACCTCGCTCGCGCCAGTGGATCACCCGCACAGAGCCAGCGGGTGAGGTGCAGCATGTGAGTCACCGAGCTCGCGGCGGCACGCGTTCCGTGGCCAGCATGTGGCACACCAGCGTCCAGCCGGCGGGCGCTGTGCTGGTCAGTAGTTGTGCAGTGCCGCTAGTCCGCCCGCTGCCAACAACAATAGGCTGGCAGGCGGCCTGATCGTGAGGTGGCGTCAACCGCAAGCCAGAGCCGCCGGCGAGCGCGGGATTCAGGACGGGAGCCGCCCCGGAATTCAGGTACAAGATGTCGACCGTCCGCAACCCAGCACTGCCGGCCAGGCCAGGGCGGCCCTGTGGCAATCGCTGGTGAATATTGATACAGACTGACGTCTTTCACCGCGCGTGATGATGAAACAGCGGCGTGTTTTCGGCATTGTCGCGCCTTTAACTGAGGAAGGCAGATTGGCTCGGCTCGTGTGTGGGTTTACACTTGCTTGCTCGTGATGTGTGTGGCCCGTGGCACGCGCACAATTGTAGCGATTCGTTCAGTTCAAACAAAAACTTTCCTTCTAATTGGTCTCGGTGCTGCACTTCGTAACGGCAGTGCGTGCTAGCAACTGTCATCGGCGTGTGTCATCACTGTTCATCAGTTGTTGTGCTTTGCGACTTGTGTTAGGTTAGGTTGTGGTGCCGTGCGAAAATGACCAATGATGTTGGAAAAGAGAATGGGGAAAAGGATAACGAATAGCGCACACGCCATACGAGAGCATCCCAGCAACATCTACAGCGAAGAAGGCGGGAGCCGTCAAAGCTAAATGTAATTAAAAGATGTGCCAAATACCTTGATATGGCATGTGGTTATACAGATAGATCCAGAGCTAGAATCAGGACTCAACAGCTGCCCGGCACGACCTACAAAGGCCCAGTCAGAGTGACCGAGCAGCACCGGACGCCTCAGCAGCACCTGCGCCAAAGCTGCCCGGCACGTCCTAAAAGACCCAGTCAGAGTGACCGAACAGCACCGGACGCCTCGGCAGCACCGCGCCAGAGCTTACCCGGCACGACCGCTACCAGACGTGAGACCCGAGACGGGATTTATCCCGCTTGAGTCGCTCGCAAATATGACTACCTCGCCGGAGTCGCCCAGCAGTGCAGACAACAGGTTAGGACGCAGAGGAACGGTCCAGACAGCCGTTCAGTTCCGAGCCGCCAGCCGACATGGACCCAGGAGCAAAGGCGGATGGACAGCGGTAGCGACGCCAAAACTGACCGGAGACATCTGGCAGCACACCTAGTGGACGGAGCAGTCCGGCCTCACCAAAACGATCAGCGGCACAGCTAGCGAACTGAGCAGACCGGGCCTGACCAAAACGGCGGACGGACAGCGGTACCGACGCCAAAACTGGGCGGAACCATCTGCCAGCACAACTGGTGGACAGAGCAGACCGGTCCTGACCAAAACATTCACCGCCGGCGCTGCGAACGTTTCAACTCGCGGTGTTACCACCATCTTGTGAATTGGTCGTGCCAATTTTGTAGACAAATTGATTTTTTTTTAAAAATCGTCTGCCGGCTGGGTACAGTGGAATATCCGATATTTGATGGCTTATCACGCAGCGCGTTTTTTATCACACGAACACCAAATAGTCATAAAGCATAGATGCCCCGCACAATGCTAACGCCTTCATGCGAGCAATTAAAGGACTTGACACGATTGGACATGTCTTCGTCCCTTTCGTCGTCCGGAGCGTTACGCACTGTGCCACCGAGCTGCATATGGCATTGTCACCACGCGTGTGCACGGCATGGCACGGCACGGCATAATCGGGACGGCAGTGAGCTGGCCGGGCCAGTCATGCCGCCGGTGGGCAGTGGGCTGGGTCGGGCTGTCGCCACTTGTCTGGCCAGATTTGGCCGCCACTGTGCGGCCAGCCCGCGTCTGGCCCGGCCGGGGCCGCTGCCAACACTAAACAGGGCCGCCGGCCGACGCGACGCCGTCCAATCAGTGCCACGGCACAGCGGCCGAGCAGAGGTCCACCAGACGACCTTAAGCATAGGAGAGGTCCACCAGACGACCTTAACCCCGGGAGAGGTCCAACAGGCGACCTTAACCCTGGGAGAGGTCCACCAGACGACCTTAACCCCGGGAGAGGTCCACCAGACGACCTTAACCCCGGGAGAGGTCCACCAGACGACTTAACCCCGGGAAGGTCACCATACGCCTGAAACCCCGGGAGAGGTCCCCCAGACGACCACAACCCCGGCACAAAGATCCACCAGAAGACCTTAAACCCACGGGAGAAGGTCCACCAGACGACCTTAACCACGGGAGAGGTCCAACAGACAACCTTTACCCCGAGAGAGATCCACCAAACGACCATAAACGCAGCAGAGGTCCATCCCAGACGACCATACCCCGGCAGAGGTTCATCAGGCGCGCATAAACCCGGAGAAGTCCACCAGACGGACCATGCACCGGACAGAGGTCCACCAAGCGACCATAAACCCGACAGAGGTCCACAAGAGGACCATAATCCGGCAGACGTTCACCGGACGACTATAGTCCCGGCAGACGTCCACCAGACGACCATAACCCCAGTAGAAATCCATCAGGTGATAATAAATAAACCCGACAGAGGTTCACTAGACGAGATAGACCGGCAGAGGTCCACTAGGCAACCATAACCTACCAGACGTCCACGAGGAAATCATAATCCGATAGACGACCACCAACCATAACCCCGGCAGGTAGAGGTTCACCATACGACCATAACTCCTAACAGAGGCTTAGCAGGCAACCATAACCCCACCAGAATCCCACCAGGCCACCATGACAAGAACAGACGTTACCAGATGACCACAACGCCGAGCAGATGTCTACCAGGTGACCATGACTAAAGCAGATGGCCACTAGACGACCATAACGAGAGTCCACCGGATGGTCACAGCTTGAGCAGCTGCCAACCAGACTACCCTAACCAGACAGATATCCACCAGACGAAGATGGGACGAGCATTCATCGCAGACGACCAGGGCGCCCAGATGACAGAGGCCCAGCTGACATCGGTCAGCTGACCAGGTTTAGGCAGACGCTACTTGACGTTCTAAAACCTCGGCTCCATACAGCTGAACTCCTTTATTTGCTACTCCATCCTGCAGGTCATGCGGAGTTATTCGAAAAGCTAGAAAACTTGGCAGTTTGTAGGTAGCTGGCAAGATGTTTGCACCGGTTTTTATTTTCAAGGGAACACGACGCCCATCGTCGAGCATTCTACGTGTCGCGCCCGTGACTGCAGAAGTCATATTGTCGCTCAACGGCCTTGGTTCAACCGGGGATCAAACCCGTGCACCGTATGAAAGGGAATGTCCAAACGTCTCAGCCAATGCACTGCGTATAAATAGTCATAAGTTCATGCTAAACCTACCACATTTTTAACGTTGGCTGCATGCTAAGAGAAATGGGGCATTTATCATGAACCTGATAAGTTTGTTTTGGTATGCCGCCTCTTCGAGTCCAAAACCCACGCGCTCCGAGAACGAGTGAGGCACTGCCATTTCCAGGCTGCCAACCCTAATCAAGTTTCTCAGAGTCCAATTTCAAAGCTATTCAGCCGGCCGTTGTCGAAAAATGGCGGTGCCCGTAATAAGGCAGGCAGGGCTGTGCGCTTTGGGCGGCAAGAGGAACAGTGCCTTGAAATTACACCGTAGGTCCAGACATTCGTTTCCGGATTACACTGAAACGGCTTTGCGACTTGAAAAACGTGCCCCTATGTTGTCCTTTCAGTAGTTCATAGCCTTGTTGCACCGTCAGTTTCGCGACGCCTATTTGAATATTGATACGTCAATACAAGTAAGACCATATTTTAGAGATGCCGGTTTGTTTAGAAAGACGGTGGTACCGGTATCGCACTACCACCAGTGCATGATGCTAAGAATATGAGTGCCGGCCTAGATCCGCACAGTCTGACTTTCCCCGACATCGAGTCCAGCTATCAATGCATTCAACACAAGCCGACATTTGCTGGCGTCCGCCAGGGAAGTTCTGGCATTATAAGCCCAGGCCACCGTCCTGTTACCACCGTCGTCGTAAGGACTTCCACCGCTCTGTTCGGTGGAAGTCCTTGTCCGCACCAAGAAAATCCGCACCAGCGGCGGTGTGCTGGTGCGGATTTTCTACCATCCGCCGGTAGGTGACACCGAAATCTTGCCCATCAGATTCCTAAAAGGTGAAAAAAGGTTCCGCAAAACTTTAAAAAAAATTGATAATGAGTCTTCCACCTTTGAGACAAAGTAAAAAAACACACCATAGTGAAACCTCACGATTGGTTGCGTGTAATAATAACACTGAGTAGTGCCAATGGAGCAATGCCAAACTATAATAGGGATATCAATCTTGCTTATTTTCGAGTTCTAATTACGCTGTCAACGTTTTGTAACAGCAACACGCTTCTTCCCTGCAGTCGCGACCCACCGTCGTCACGACAACCCCCGCGCACACCTCTACTGGTGTGAATAAAAGAACGTTTGGGATTTGCTTAGTGAGCACGGGCCTGCTACCGAGAAGTTAGTTGGTTGAAGCTTGAATCAGTGCGTCACATGAATCATATGATGTTTCCATTCCCAAAGCCAAAGTGCGCCTCGAAAAGAGCCACTGTGATAAAAGCGATAGGGGGGAAACGAAAGCCATAGTACAACGTTTCGGTGAATTCGCGGGATAATAACTTCATGTTCCCATGTCTTCTTTTCTGAACAGAGTTTTCAAGCTTTCGTAGGATTTATCGCATAAACATTTTGACACATCAGGTCTTGCAAAAATTGCAGAGCAGGCACGTTGGAAAAAAGCACGACAAATGAAAAGTATTACTTTCACAGTGGTGAGCTGGGAGTCAAATGAAATTCCCTCCGCAGAGTCGTTTACTTCAAATCAGAATTTCAAATTATTCAGAAGTTTTTCGAGGAAACTGGTGTTGCTGATCAAACCGTAGGCGTCTCGCGCAACCATAAGTGAGAAGTACAAAAGGTGGGACACTGCCACTTTAAGTGCGTAGATCACTAGATTACAATACATATACGGAGTTACATTATCAGTTAAGTGCCTGCGTATAAGTGCGGTTGGTCTGCAATACTCAGTGCGATGTGATGGTTTTGGCCTGTAGCCTGCTTCTCCTTTGCACCGTTTAATCGCTCCGTACAAAACGCGGCGGCCTCGCATCGGCAGTTCGCACGCGCTGTGCTTGCTGTTAACTGTGTCGTACGCGCTGTGCTTTCTGTCAACTGTGTCGTACACGCTGCGCTTGCTGCTCGCTGTGGCGTGCGTACCTGAGACATTCGGCCAGACGCGTGCTGCTGTCGATCAGCCGAAGACCAGACGACAGTCTGTCAGACCTCAGTCAGCCAGACGACAGTCTGTCAGACCGCAGTCAGCCAGACGACAGTCTGTCAGACCGCAGTCAGCCAGACGACAGTCTGTCGGACCGCAGTCAGCCAGACGACAGTCTGTCAGACCGCAGTCAGCCAGACTCACCTGGATATAGCAATGTCAGCCTTCTGCAGGGCGATCTTGGAGGCGCGGTTGGCGGCATTCACGGCCGCCTCGATCCGCTCCCGAAACTTGGCCGAGCGGATGAGGAACAGGTGCTTCTTCTTGTTGGACGTGATGATGACGTTGTTCTTGTACTTGCCCTCCTCCTTGGTGCCGTCGCGGAAGGTGGTGACGCCGTAGCCGTACTTCTTGTTGTTGTACCACTCGCCCTCGTACTTGAGGCCGTCGGATCGCTCGCACACGCCGTAGCCGACGCGTCGGTCGTTCTTCCACTCGCCCATGTACGTTTCGGTGGTGTTGCTGTCCATCTGCTCGTCCTGTCGACGGAAAGGAGCCATTTCACAACGGTGGCGGCGGAGGAGGCCCATATGCCCAGCGAATTATCATTTCCAGCTGTAGCCACTCTTGCAGTGTAGGTACGTTATGACCAAAAACTATGAGTACAAGGCTGTCCTCGGAATGTGTACAAAACTGGTGCATCAGCGTTACAGCACTTACGTTTGCACTAATTCTGTGCGGATTGACACGGTTAGGACAAGCCAGTTCGGGACAAAGAGAGGAAATGTCATCGTTTTACAACTAGGACATGGTCCATTCTGAGAGAGGAAGTTCTCGTAATTCTTGTTTTCTCTCCCACAGCGCAGACAGCTGAAGAACCATCCCGGTGTCTGTTTGGTAAGCATATATTGCTCTTAGGCATACATTGCTTAGGCAGTGCACGCTTTGGTTGCGACTTTAATATCACACGCAAATGCACCGAAAAAGCAGAGTCCCATTTATCATTGACCGCAGGCTGAAGCATGCCGCGCGGTCAATGCGGGACGCGCCACACCCAGCCGCGGTACCGACCGGCTCGGGTCCGGCGGGGTCAGGATAAGCGGCGCTGGGCCGCTCCTGACCTGACCGCCCATTACCGCTCGCCGCCATCAGCGGTCCGGGGAATCCGGAAGTGACGGGCCGGCGGTTCGGCTGTCAGGGCTCGGCCGGCACGTGATCGAGGGGCGACGGCGAGCGACGCGCGGCGGTGGCGGGCGGAGCGGTAAGGCGCCGCACGCCACCGCTGACGGCTCGCCTCGGCTGATGAGCCTGACACAGCTGTCTTGCCTCCGCAGCACCGCTGACGGCTCGCCTCGGCTGATGAGCCTGACACAGCTGTCTTACCTCCGCAGCACCGCTGACGGCTCGCCTCGGCTGATGAGCCTGACACAGCTGTCTTACCTCCACAGCACCGCTGACGGTTCGCCTCGGCTGATGAGCCTGACACAGCTGTCTTACCTCCACAGTACCGCTGACGGCTCGCCTCGGCTGATGAGCCTGACACAGCTGTCTCACCTCCACAGCACCGCGCCGAGTCTTCACTTCATGAAGTCTCACCTCAGTTGACGAGCCTACATTCCACTTGGCCTGACCTCAGTGAACGAGCCTTCATTCCTTGAAGTCTCACCTCAGTTGACGAGCCTACATTCCACTTGGCCTGACCTCAGTGAACGAGCCTTCATTCCTTGAAGTCTCACCTCAGGTGACGAACACCTCACCTGACGGGTGACATCAGTTGGCGTGACAGTTCGCTCCTCGCCTTACCTCAGGTGACAAACACACCTCACCTGACGGGTGACATCAGTCGGCGTGACAGTTCACCCCTCGCCTCACTTCACCTCGCCTCAGCGATGGCCCGTAATCCCTATCTCAGACGAAGCTAGCAATTTTCCCGCTAGATTGCCTCTCCCAGCTGACCAGCGCACGCTTCATCGGTCCCGACCTGCGTCTAATTAGATGCACACATCAGTGCCCTGTTCTTGCTAAGCAGTCTCCAGGTGCTTTGGAATGAGACGGTCACGTCCGCGATGCCGGAGAAGAGTGAAGAGAGGCCGAGCGCTTTCTCAAGTGGACCCAGACGGGAGCGTGACGGGGACCGGAAGGCCGAGTCGGCGTGACACGGGCGGGACTAAGTGGATGATCGACCAAAGAGCCGCGGACGAAAATACCTTGCGCGTGCCTGAACGCGCGACACGACGGTGTCTCTGTGTAAACAACGTGCACGAGTCAATGAGCAGGCCAAAGCGCGCGGCGGCGTGTTGATCTGTTGACGCAGTGGTGACGCAAGCCGTAAAAATACCGGGCGATGACGTAGAGCGACAATAGGTCCGCCGCCGGCGACGCCAGGTGCACACCCGGAGACTGGCGGCCCATTTCCGACCAGCCGCGGGACTTTCCGGCCCGCTGTGATCGTTTACGACACGGCGCCCGCTCCCCACCCGGGGATAAACGGTGCCCGCCGTCGTCCGGGTCGGCGGCCGGCGGCCCCGGCCGTCGGAGACGGCGGCGGCCCGGCCCCGGCCGGTGCGGAGGAACGGGCGGGCCGGCCCGCGCCGTCGGAGGACGGGCATGTGGCCAGGCCCCCGCCGTCGGAGGACGGCGGTCGGCCCGCGCCGTCGGAGGACGGCAGGCGGCCGCGGCCCCTGGCCGTCGGAAGAACGTGCGGGCGGCCCGCAGCCGTCGGAGGACGGCAGGCTGCCGCGGCCCCGGCCGTCGGGAGTGACGGCGGGCGGCCCGCCGCCGTCGGGAGGACGGTGCAGGCGGCCCGGCCCCGGCCCGTCTGAGAACGGCGGTGCTGGCGGCCGGCCCCGGCCGTCGGAGGACGGCAGGCGGCCGGCACCGACGGAGGACGGCAGGCGGCCCGGCCCCGGCCGTCGGAGGACGGCGGGCGGCCCGCGCCGTCGGAGGACGGCGGGCGGCCCGGCCCCCCGGCCGTCGGAGGACGGCAGGCGGCCGGCACCGACGGAGGACGGCAAGGCTGGGGCCCGGCCCCGGCCGTCCGGAGGACGGCAGGCGGCCCGGCCCCTGGCCGTCGGAGGACGGCAGGCGACCCGCGCCGACGGCGGCGTCGGCCCGCGGCGCGGTGCGTTCACAGCTGCGTCGGCCAGACGGCGTGTGCGCCATTAGTGCTGCGCGCCGGGGCGCGCCGGCGGGCTGTGAAGGTACCGCCGTGGCCAACAGCGACTCGCTGCGCAGCGGAGCTCCGGCACCCGCTCAGATGTGAGGCTTTGCTCCACTCTGTCGCAGCGTGCCTTTGCGGAATCCGCGGATACTGCCGACGATCGGGGAGGGTGCGGGGGCTTGGTCTGAAGCGGAGGTTAGGTGGAATGGGCCAAGACCCTGGCGAACCTCCCGTTCGCAATGCCGGCTCTGGAGTGATAACCCGAAAAAGGCGTCGATAAGTGACATGGCGGCGTGAGTCCACGTCGTGAGCACAAGGCCGGCGGCGGTGTTTTGGTTGGGTTCTGACGTTCGATACATCTGGCGCCCTTGAGGAATGCATCGCAGATTTCTGACTCCCGTGGCGACCGAATGTTTACATTCTGACTCCTGGAGCTACCGTAAAGTGCTTATGTGCTGACTCATGCATGGCATCGCCACGTGTTCGTGTTCTGACCCGCTGACTCATTCATGACATCTCTACGAGCTCCAGTTCTAAGTCGTCAACTTTTGCATGACATTTGTATGTTCTTATGTTCGACTTTTGCGAAAACTGTGTATCCGAACGTTGCGACCTTGATGCGAACGCACGGATGGTTATGTGCACATAATGTGTTTAGAACCAACCTAAATTTGTAATAATTCTTATGTGCTTTAGTTCATATGTTGTGAACTTGAGTTCTAATGCTGGGTTAACGGCCTCCAATATACCAGGATGTACTGGTTTAACGACGTTATAGTGCTAAACAGCGATTATGTTGGCGGTACTCAATAATTTCGATTTGTGCTTATCCTCGAGAGAGCTCAGCACGTCCCATCATCTTGAGGATAAGCACAGCTCTAAATATCGAGCACTACCAGTGCAATCGTTGTGTGATATTATAACGTCGTAAAGCCAGTATCTCCTGATATGATCACGCTCGTTAACTCGGCATAACAACTTTTCAACTCATAATGGAGAGAACCAGGAGCTGAACATCTCCCTTCCCTATATCAAGTAAGCTTTTTCCCCTCCAATTTCGTATCCTCTGTCGGAACTTGGACACTCATGCATGCTTACGTTCAATTCGCTTATCAATTATCATTCCGCGGGGCGGTTTCTAGGCACCGAGCATAACTAACTGCTGTCTTACATAAGTATGACCGACCGCGCCCATCGCTTACCTCAACCACGAAGCTGCCATTGGACTCGTGTGGAAGCTGCCGTTGGTCATGTGCGACTTGCTCGAGTCGGTGCTCATCCAGGAGACGCTGCTGTTGGTGGAGCGGATGCTGCTGCCGGTGCCGCGCTTCTCGAGGTCTCCCGTGCTGCGCTGCTTCCGCAGTCGGAGACCCTGCCGGCAACGAAGCACGCTTTTGAGCACTGAGCTTAGCTGCGAGATGGCTGCTGTCATAGGCTAATGCAAGGCCCTGTGGCTGATGTACGAATGATCTGGCGATGCTGGAATTCCCGAGCCATTTCGCTTCTAGGCAGGTTGTTTGCCCTGAGTACAGGGAGAGCGGCGATGGGAGGAAGCCAAGCTGACAAACGCGTGCCTTAATAGATGCCGTACCTTAGACAAGTTGGTATATCGAAGCCTTCACCTTTGGCACCTTGACATCAGGCTTACGCAGCAGTTCACATGATTGCCGAGCAGCGATTTTAGCTGGCGATACCGACAAGAACAAGCTACAGGATATTGACAGGGGTCCAAAACAGCAGGAATACTTAACTTGACATACTATTTATTTCGTTTGTCCACAGCCAGGACACAAGGCGAATGCAGCCCCCGTGATATCATGGTTTGTATCACGCATGGCACAACCACCACTAAGGTCGGGTGGATCCGAACTCCACCGACATTTGGGGAAATGGGAATACAGAAACAAGCCGCAGTGACATTTAAAGGTTGGTTACGTCCATGGTAACGAGTGTTTCACCACTGGTAAAGCCAGAGGGTCGCCAGCGTTGCATTCTGTGACGGTGCAATAAGTGCAGGAAAAACGCGCAACAGAAAGTTTCAGGTGTTGAGCTTTTATCTTGAAATAAATTTTGCTTTCATTCTGCGATTATTCAGAGCCCATGCTATATGTGTCTCAAAATTCTGTACATTCCTGAAACAGCTATACTTAATGTGGCCCACTATCACCCGGCATCGTTGAGGTGGCCCCCTGTCAGTCGGCCGCATCAGCCACGGAACAAGATATGGGATGAAGAGTATGTCACGCTTTGTCAAAAATGGATGCTATGCTAACTGCCGCCCGGAATGCATTGTGCATCGGTAACAAAGCTTAACTAAACCGAAAGTATTCATAAAAGATTCATTATAATGCAAAAGGATCTGGTTAGTGAGCGTCCGTCGCGGCGGTGGTTTTAAAAACAATCCGGCTCAAGTCACTGATCAATCCGGCTCAAGTCACTGATCATCCGGCTCAATTCACTGATCAATCCGGCGTCAAGGCACTGATAAACCCGGCTCAAGGCACTGATCAATCCGGTTCAAGCCACTGATCAATCTGGCTCAAGCCACTGAGCAATCCGCTCAAGGCACTGATAAACCCAGCTCAAGGCACTGATCGATCCGGCTCAAGGCACTGGTAAACCCAGCTCAAGGCACTGATCAATCCGGCTCAAGGCACTGATCAATCCGGCTCAGCCACTGATCAATCCGGCTCAGGGCACTGATAAACCAGCTCAAGGCACTGATCAATCCGGCTCAAGCCACTGATCAATCCGGCTCAAGGCACTGATCAATCCGCCCAAGGTCCTGGGCTCTGCAGCACGAGGCGCGATCACGTGCAAGCCGTCTGTGATGTGACTTTATACCAGTCGGCATTTCTCCGCTGCTGCATGCAAGCGGTGCCAGGATCCGTGCGGCCGTCAATGTCCGCCATGACGGAAATGTCAAAACGAAAATGCCCGCGTGATGAAAATGTCAGGCTGGTACTGGAAAGCCATGTCCGAGTGGCGATGAACGTTAGTTGGCCAGGGTCATGCGGGAAAACAGCTCGGTGCAGCGGCGAACCCTCCCAGCTTTTTTCACCTCTCTTCTTTGTGCCTCAAATTCCGAGGCGAAACCGCCGGCTGGGTACAGTGGTCCATACGCGATCTCATCGCCAAATAGACTTTGCCAACATAGTTTTTTGTCCACCCTGAGGTTGTAGAATTCCTCCCGGAGGTCAGAGCGGGTCTAGCGCCCGTGTCCAGCGACCGCGGAGCTGCCGCGAGGCCAGGTCACGACCAGAAACGCAGAGCAGCGAGCGCGAGGAGGTAAGCGCAATGGGAGTGTCTGGTCTGGCAGGGAGTTGTGGTGCTGCGTGCGAACGTCACCAGGAATGAGAGCAGGACTGCTGCTAGACGTAACTTCTTCTGTGCTGTGATGACTTTTCGTGGCAGGCAAATTTTTTTACCTACTTTCAAACGTTTCAATGCGAAGCCATCAGCAAACCGAGAAGCTCTGTTGGAAGGAAGCCCTGATCTGGCTGACGAGTTCAACCGTCGATTCACAATGGTTGGGTCCCGGATTACCGCCACACCGAGGGGGAGCACCGGACAGCCAACCAGACCGCCAGCTGTCTGTACCACTCACTTCACTTTTAAGCCCGCTACTCTCCCTGGACTGTTTTCATCGATCCAGCGGATGAGCAGCTCGAGAGCGGTGGTGTGGACGGCGTAACGATAATAGCAGTGTGTCGGTGCTTCCCTGCAGTCTTTCCGCATCTCCTGCGGATCATCAAGTGCCCCCCCGCAACCTGGGTGTTCTCTGACGAGGGAAAAGTTGCGTGTGTGGCACCATCCTGAATCAGGCGATCCGACTGTACCAGTTACGATAGTTCCCATATTAGTCTCTCTTAGTCTCTAGTCTCTCTTATATAAATAGCCTCTCTTAAGTGTGCTATCCAAAGTTCTTGAAAAAGTCGCTGCAGCAAGCCACAGCGACAATGACAGCAAACTGAGGACGTATCTCCACAGCAATGGTATTCTCAGCCCTGTTCAATATGCCTACCGGCAAGGTCACTGTAATAAGGACGCTCTTCTCGACGCTATCGCAGAGCTGGTGACGAAGCATCGCAAGCGGAGAGATATCTTCGCTGACGGCTGTCGACCTATCCAAGGTTTTCGACGGCGGTCATCATGGTTTCCTTACAACACAGCTTCCGTGGTACGGCGCGGATCCTGATTGATTCAAAAGCTATTTGATTGGTCGGAGGCAGGGTGGTGCGTGGAGGACTGACAACCCTACCGGTAACCCACGGGGCGCCACAGGGTTCCATAGTCCGTACGCTATTGTTTGCCCCATTCACAGACGACTTACCCAGTTGCCTGTTACGTGGACGCTTCATCTCATACGCAGATGACACTCAGCTCGTGGACCACGCTCCTCCCAACAAGAAGCATCTCGACGCGCTAAAACATTGTCTGTAAATATTAATGTGCGAACTTGAGGCTTGGTTCAGAGCAAGCCCACTGGAAATGAACAGAGACAAAACAGACCTTGTTCTCAGATTCAAAACATAATTTAAAGAAAACCTGTGATTTTCACTATGCAAGAATGTGACGAAATTCTAATCTCGCCGTACCACCTCAGGCATTACTTTACGCCTGATGTTTTCAAAATTTATATCGAATACTACGTTTTCCACATATATCTTGCTCTCTATGCGTGTAGGGTGGTGAGGTCAAGTCCAGGTGCGCAAAGTATTACGAAAGCTATATATTTCCCCAGGATTATTTCTGGAATGAAACACAGCCAGCGTATAACACCGACTCTAGAGTCTCTATACTGTCTCCGGATTGATGACTTGGTAAGAGAGAGGAACGTACTGAAGTGCCCCGAAGTGCTACAATGCAAGGAATAGCCCCCCCCCAACGTCCAATCTCTTTTCAAGGCCCGCTCCCTTGTTCCCTGAGGGAGACGCGCTTCTCCATGTCAATGTATCCACATGCTCTGGTGCCGATTGAAAGCCACCGAGCGGGCCTTTTCTTATTGTGCCGCGGCAGCTTCGAACCGCACACCTCCGACCATCATTATCTCTCATCCGTGGAGTATTAAAACTCACATTTCAAAACGCAAGTGTTTTGATCATGCGCCTTAGGTCATGCCCATGCTGGGCTACCTGTGTGATGTGTACGCAAATGTATTTGCATGCACGATCTCGGATGTCAATACGGATCTCACGTGTTTACAATTTATTTCGATCCACCTTGTCTGTTTACTCTGGGTTTGACACATTCTGCTGTCAAATTGAGACATTCGTTGGACTCATTGCTCAACTCTGTATGCTATTTCATAGCATCATATGTTTTCGCATCGTATCTTATAGCACCTGTATTTCAACGTATGCTTTATCGCATGTTTCGTAATGTCGTATTTCATAGTTACAAACCGAAGAATCGATACGATACTGCCAAACAGTATTTTGTAGCATCGCCTCTAAGAGTATTTTGTAAGGCGTTGCAACGTGTGAGTGAGCGCTGTAACGAACCAAACCTAGTAACCGTAGCAAAGTCCTGTGTGTCAAAATCCTGTGTGTTGGTGACGAGTGGGGTCGCGTGTAATCACTCGCTCTTGAACGTCATTCTTCATCACCATCTTCACCGTACACTTCCTCGTGCCAGGTCAGTGACGATAAGAGGCTAATGTTGTATACTGGCAATTGGTTGACGGGCGCTGATGCGGCGGAGGAGGCGCAAAGTCACGTTGGTAGATGCGCGCGCGTCATGTTAGCCGCGAGTGATGCTGCTAGCGAAGCGCCACTCCATCAATGGACGCGGTGTTCGGATTGAGATAACAGGCACGGTCCGGCACCATGGGAGAGTCAGTAAAGGTGTTGAGCGTCCAGTGGCTTCCCAGAGAACTCTATGTAGAGACACTGACCCTAGTGACCTGACACTGACCTATACCAAGGACTTCTTCTTACACAGGGTGGTGCCGGGCGCTTTTGGCCCGGCTACTCGACCAAACCGGCCGCTGACGCTGGTCCTCGTGGCAATTGTGTCTGTCTGTTTCAGGAGCTGTGACAAATGGGACTGGCGTGGGAGGAAGTCAATCCCTGACGAACAGTCTCGTGTGTTTTCATACTGGTGGCGGGGTTTTGATACGACGAAGCAGCTGCTGATTCCGCACCGATCAGATTACCTGCCGCCGACAGGGTAATCTGAGACCTCGACGCCTGGAGCTTGTGTGCTATACCAGACGCCTCGTGTCAGGGGATAACGGAGCGCGGTGTGCCTGCTAACGCTTAAGAGTCGCGTCACACCGCGAAAGAATACCCCCCCCCCCCCCTCGTCTGGAGCTACTGGGCCGTCTGCTGGCCGCATGTCGGTGTCCTTTGCCGCGAACCGCTCCGGC